AGGGCAGATTAAGGGAAAGAAATGAAGAAAACAACACTTGATGGGCTTAAGTAAATGGATGGTAGAACAAGGTTTGGGAGAAATAGCATAAAGATAGAATTTATTGGGCGGGGCTACAAATGACAGGAAGATGCAGAGGGCCATGATCGTCTACCCACTGAAGCGACATGGTACATAAAGAAAAAGAATTCTATAATTCAAATATCTCAACTCGATTAATCATAAGGAGGGTTGCAAAAGAGAAATAATTTCATGAGCAGTACAAATAGTGGTGGTTGTCACAAAACTAAAAAAATATCTGGAAAGACAAAAACTTCTGCCTGAGATCAAAGAGCAGACTGTTGTCTGCATCAGCCTTTTTAATTCCTCTGTACAACTATGAATCTTGGACATTAACACCAGAATTCCTGTATAGATCACATCAGAAATGACGCAGAACAAAACACGAAAAAAGAAACAGGCTCATTGGAAAACCTCATAACTACTAACAAAAAGAGAAAACTGAAATGGTATGGCCAAATCATAAGAGCCAACAATCTTTCAATCTTTTCCACTTAGTTATATGCCATGTGTGATACATGTTTAGACGATCATGTATCGTTCGATATATTACTGACGAGGCAAATTTTTTCCCGCAGTAGGTTGCCATTTCTTTCTGCAGAAGACTAGTCACCATCGAAGTCTATAGAATCCAGTCTGTCCTCCTATTTACTCATAGCAGTGGGGAGAAGAAGAGGATTCATACCTTTCCCAAGGTTATTAGCACATAAGTGAATGTAATGGATTTGACTGGAATTCGAACTCGGATCTCCGATTCCTCAATCCGAGCCATTATCCATTACTCCACTGTGCCTACCACTCCAAAAAATATCACCTTAGGCAAAAGAAGAAAAGACGAGCAGAGGAAAAAAAAAATGAACTGACAATATCACCGAGTGGACTGGAAGCTCGTTCACAGACAACTCATAACTCTAGGTGTAGAGTGCTTGCTTTAAGAAATATGAAAGGACAAGTAGTTAACATATGAAGTGTGTGAAATAAGATTGTAAATAATATGACTATGCTGAAAAGTTCTCAGTCTGCCCAAGAAAACCTTCAAAAGATTTTTTGATATGTGGTCATTTGGCTAAGGCTGTCAACTTTTCATCACCCTCTTGTATAAAGGGCATTTTTTGTTTATTTTTATATGTGAGGATCATGAATTCCAGATACTTAGTAACTACCCCCCATTTAATGTTTTCCAGCTCATGAACTGAATGAAGTATAACATTCAAAAGAATTAACTTTTTCTCCCATAGAGATATATCTATATGTAATGTGGTTAAAAGTTGGCTATATTCTTCATAGTCTTAATTTCTAAGACCTAAAAAGCTGACTTCAATATCACTTTATCATATTCTTTGCTTAATCATTTCTTTGTGAATTATTGCAATTAAAAGTAGACTTAATCTTTAACCCACAGAGGAGGAGAAGTAGATTCATACCGTTCCAAAGGGTATTTGCATAATAAATTCTAAAAAAAAACAAAAACAAAAAAAATGTTTATTTTCAAAAAATTAAAATAAACAACAACTCATTGTTTATTTTGTACAAGCTAATATTCTAGATAAGTAGTAATATCAAGTATTCTATCTATCCACTTCATAGAATAAGGAGCCTTTCTTTATATTAACTTGCAGCAGGCCTGGTATGTACTATTTGATTGGGGGCTCCAGGCAGGCTTTGTAACCTTATCAACATTTGCTTTTTTTCTACCTACATTTACATACATTTCAAATTAAACTAAGCACAACTATTAAAAGATGAAAAATCTTTGCAGATATTGACATTAGTCTAAAAAAAAAAAAAAAAAAAAAGAAGAACAACTATATAAAATTCACTATTTTTTATCCATAATGTTAAATGTGTAAAAATTATTCAACTTTTTAACAAGAAAAATCTCAAGTTGATGTTAAAAGTTGCCACAAAATATTATTGTTTTATTTACAATAGAATGATCTATTATGACATGTCTCTAATTTGTATTAGATATATTGTATTTATTTTCAATTTTCTAATTGAATTGTTCACTTATATTGCATATGATACATTATATATTAGGCTATAATAACATTTGTATTTTATATGAATCTGATTTTGGCGGGGTGGGGGACACAATACCTTTTCACTAGTCATGACTTGCAGTATCACCTCAAAATTGTGACTTTCTTATATGAAGAAAACAACAACATCTAATAAGTCTCTGAAGTTACTTCTAGTATTACAGGCTATGGTTAGTGTCAAGACTAGACTATGGTTTTAGTCTTCTGTTAGGCCTTTTTATTAAGATTCCAATTCATTATTATATAAGACTTAATTATAGACAATGCATTGGATAAATATGTCTTCTGTTTGAATTTCTGGGATGAAGAGTTATTATTTACATTTGGACTAATGTCCTCATCGTTGTTATTATTATCACAATGTTTCAGCTGTTGTGCCCTCTGGCCTTTTTGATGTCAATCCAGGTAAATTCAGTGAATTTCAAACTGAACACTTTATTTAATCAACAGAGTTAGATTGTTCTTGTTCTGTTGTCCATGTCTAGGAATATTTCATCTGGTCCTTTTTAGTCCTGCACAGTTTTAGCTTACATTGCTTACACTGTGTCTAAGTTGGTACTACTCATGGGACAATAGTATAGTGGATTAAAGCATTGGCTTGTGAATGTGATGGTTTAATAATGGTGTGTTCGATCCCTGGACTGGGTAGAATCAGTGTAAACAGAGTGAGCAATACCTAGACAGGGACTGCAAAATGAGAACAATCTACCTTCAGTTCGGTATTCCTTGAATGTTATCCAGATCAAGAGATGCCTAGGTAGGATTGGAGGGCACAGTGGCCAAAACATTCTAAACATAACAACAAAGATGAGGAAAATATTTCAAGTGTAAATAAAAGTAATTACTACCAGTGAATTTCCATATCTATTTTTAATTATTCAACAAAATGAATGACAACCAAAAAATAATAAAACATACAAAAAAAAAAATCATTGCTCACTCCTTAGTTGTTAAAAGTTTGAAAATTATTTTTTTCAAAATTCATAAAGGTTTTTTCTCAAATTCCTTATGAAGATAAAATCTATACCTATCTTGCTGTAGTGGGTTGAAAGTTCTTTACTGACTACATTTAACTTCATTAATTCCAGCGTTATGTAATCATACAGCAGAGGTAATTATAGTCAAGGAAATGGACATACTTAGTTTACTTGTAACAATTTCTTTCAGATCATGTTTCTTTTCTAAAAGAATTCACTGCAAACCTCTAAGACAGTGATTCCCAAACATTTTTTTCTCTGGGCCACATTTTTGGAATGGAAATTTGCTTGTGCCTCACCAAATTTTATGTGATAAAAAGTACATTTTAAAATAAAAAAAAAAAAACAGAGAGAGGGTTAAAAGGGAATAACCGTGGATTCAGAGTCAGAATATTATTATTGATAACTCTCTCCTCCAATTTGCAGACCCTAGTTACTATATTCTTAATACTTGATATAATGCAAAAATATCACAATCATAAGATCATTCAATAATTATAACTGGGACTCATGCATGCAATTACGAGTAATCCATAATAATATTTTGAAATCACACTGACAGTATACTGAAAAAAAATTATCACTAAAAGAGTAGTCTATAATTTTGTAACAAGTCATTAACATTCTAAATTCTATTTAGACAACTGAAGTCTTTTTTTTATTTATTCCCTCCTTCTCTTTTCAATCCATAGAAATTTAGAGACGGAATGTTAGCATTTGCAGGAATCTGAACTTGACCCCTTGTTAACAAATTGTTTAATGAAATTTAAGCTGAAGTTACAAAACACAGTTTTGCTTTGACTTAACTAGGATATCGTTACTTGTACTTCCAATAAATGTTTTGGTCAAGAAGTTTTCTCTTCTTTTATCAGCTTGAAAGGTGTCTCTCTCTCTCTCATTCTTAACTGATTATCGTTACAATACACTCCCTTATGAAGACTGAGGATGAAAAATAATATCAGTTGAAACCTCCTGCTAACTCAACGTCAAGAATGAACAGAAAGTGTTCAGCTGTCTGACTAGATTTTTGAATTAAACTAAAAAGGATTTTTTAAATATATCTCCTAAAGACATTGTGTAAGTAAACCGGTAAACGTAAATGCAAAACTACAAGCAAAACGTTGGCCCGATCGAGAAGCAGACGAATTATTTTAAAAATACATTTAGGATTTATTTTTTTACATTAACACCTAATTAAATTCTATTGAAATATATACTACTTAAAACTTTAAAAAGACAATTTTTTTTTTTAAAAAGAGTGGCATTTAAAAAAGTATTTATGTCTTTGCAAGAAAATATGCGCCTACTGATCGCTATAAAAAACAGTTTTTTTTTCCTTTATCTTAAAAGAGCCAAACATACACACAAAAAAAAAAACTGTTTTAGTTTTTTAAAGAGAATGGCCTTAGCTGACCCATAAGAGTAAGACCCATATGGGCCATACAAGATATATATCTGTTGCCATTTTATACTAGAATTTAAAAAAAAAAATCAAGCCAAAGGAACCAATCTAAAAATACTTTTTAAAAAAATAACTAGTTTAAAAACTTGCAGGTAGAGAGACTAAAAAAATAAACTAAAAAATAAAGAGATATTGTCACGTGTGGTCTAAAAACATGTTAAAAATAAAAATGAAAAGAAAATTCTGTTTGCACATTTAAAAGAATGATACCAATAGAGTAAATTAGATTGATTCTCGAAGAACATCGTGAAATAATCTAACAATTTCAGGACAGATCTATTATTTGAAATTAAAATGACAGAGAATTGACTTAAAAAATACCGACAAAAAATCACAATAATTAACTGTTGCAGCGTTAATTTAGTCGACATAATTCGTTTTTCTTCATATCAGAAACAACGGAATGAAATAAGGTTTACGTAATTTTAATAATAAAAAGAAATAAAGGTGTATAATTACGTTTTTAAAAGCCAAATTTATGTAAAATAATCGGCATTTTCCCCACAGATGACTGAGACATTTTTCGTTAAAATAATTACATTTCCTGAGTAAAGAGTTCCACATCATGTTGTTATCCAAGCAAGAGTTATGTCCCTTACACCTTTAAGCCTCAATAAACTCTCACAGCACCTTCTTACTTGAAATCATTCTTTTTTATACTAATGTTTACCCAATACAAGTCCCAAGAGCCACTCAAGGTAGAGTGTTACTATGTGGTGTTGTACGAGCGTAAGAAAAGACAAGAATTTAAGTCCAGGAAAGATAACGGTTAACACTAGACTCGAAGTCAAGATTGTAGTGATTGGGAAAAGAAGATCCTATGATAAATGATGTGTAGCATTATTAGCATAATGTAAATTTTCTAAATTTATTAAGTATCCCCACTCGACAATAAAAAAAAGATTTTGGTTCCGATGTTCTTTTTTATCAACTTAAAAAAGAAAACAAAAATATATTGAAATGGCAACATTCCAAAAGCATTTTCAACTACGTGAAACATACGGTATGCGCACATCGTTTATTTATTAGGTAACCGTAAACGTATAGTTACAGTAAGAATGACTTTTAAATCATCATAGCAGCCCAAAAGTTTATTTTAGCGGAGCTTTTGAGACATAGAATAATCATTATACTGTATGACATATGCTTTACTCTTTGAAATATCACGCGTCTCTTGGATTTTATACTCATATCGGCCGTCGTATTCGCCGGCCTTCTTTATCGGACTCGATAACTTTCAGGGAATTTTCTACCGAACTTTGTATTCGATCTACGGCACTAGATTTTCTTTTTTTCATGTTTAGGGAATATGTTCGTGCCAATTTGTGCTTACTGTTTTTTATTTACACTTGTGTCGTTTGTTCACTTCTTTCGGCCTGAGTATATGGATCTTCAACACAACCAGACCCAGAGCTTGAATTCACAATTATCAGAGAATAGCTCTTATTTTTTAGTACTACTCGGTTATTGCTCGCCCTGTTTCCACTGAATCCAAGTATACACTAGCCGGATCAGGGACTGAACTCACAATTACTATTTTACCAAATTCACGAACAAATACTTTAATACTAGTGGATAGTCTCAAGGGAAATAATAACTATTATTATCATAAATACTGTGATGCTACACAAAGCATGGCTCTCATGACTTTGTTGTCTAACTAAAAGGAAGTGCTAACACATGTTGGATTACCACCTTCTGATGATAACCTCAGGCGGCGAAATTTTGGAATTATTGCCCCCCGACGATAATTACGGGCGGCGCGAGATTTGAAAAAATCGATCTTTTTCTCGGTGACTTTTCATAGCGAAAAGACGTATTCTTTTCGCTCCTGCAAAATGTAAGTAATCAACTACAGACACTTAAGGTTGCTTTGAACTTTTCACATTTCATTTTATTTCCCATCTTTTCTTTTTTAAAATTTCTTGTCAATATATTTGTTAATGTTTCTTTGTTCAAATTCTATGTTTTATTTTTCCTTTGGACTTACACGAGTCCACCAAAATTGTTAGCGGATCAAATGTACCAGGAGCTTATAAAATCTCATCAAATGTGTCTACACCCGCAGCACATGTACATGTTTCCTCTTGGTGAATCTATTTGATTTATAGGGGTAAAATGTTCTCGTTGCCCCGCCTCTGTCTAGGGATATCTTGTCTGGCTCTTATTTTTAGTACTGCACAGTTATTGCTTGACCTGTTTCCACTGAATTTATGTATACATTACCTGATTTAGTGATTGAACTCACAATTACTATATCACCAAATTCACGAACCAACGGTTTAATCCATTAAGCTATTGCCCTGTAGTCCTAGACGAGATATTTTAGATATGGGCAGTAGAACGAGAACAGTCTACCCTCGCAGGTTAAATAAAGGGTTCAGTTCAGAATTCCCTGTAGGTTAACCGCGTCTATATACACCTGATGCAGGCCGGAGGACTCAATGGCCGAAACGTTGTGATAAAATCAACAAAGATGAGAACAATAGTCCGTATGGAAATAGTGTAAATAACAAAATATTTTCTACATTTTTTTAAAATTGATAACATTAAAAAAAAAGTATTGACATGACCCTTCAGGGCGAAAGCGATTATGACTCTCCTCAGATTCCTTTTCTTTATTATCAGTGAATCATCATGTCTTCTATATGAAGCCTGTAGATTTTTGCTTGGTTTATCTTTGAACGTCATGAACTGGGGCTACAGAATAACAAACAAAACAATGTACCAAATAACAGAAACCACATCACTTGAGGACTTTCAACAGTAGCAACAACTAAAATGAATATCACACGTAACGCGAAGAGAAAATAATGGCATAATCAAGATATTGACGTTCCACACAACTTCAAACGGAAGATAAGAAAGGAAGTATTCATCAATACTGGACAACTACTGGACTTGAGAAAACAATTAACTAAAAAATTGATTTCATATAAATATTTTATAAATTTCAACTAACAGTAGCAGTCAGTGAATGTAGGATGTTTCCTTTAAAGGGGGGGGGCTTACATTAACGTTACCATTATTGGAAAACATAATGGTGTGTTTTCTCGGTGCTTTCTCCAGAGTCTGAAATTCAGAGTTTTCATTTTCTTAAACTAGTTGCCACTCAACGCTAGAGTGCCCAGTCCAATCTGCTATTTAACCCATAGCTGAGAGGGAGTAGAGTAAGAGTCATGCTTGTCCCAGGAGCAGTGATGCGATTAGACTGGAATTTGAACTCGTATCGCTGAATCCTCTCTCCGCCCTGATAGTCATTATGTTACCCGCTCATCCCATTTTGCACTCTCATTTATTTTTACAGAGTGACTACTATTTTGTTCACGAGGGTGACATATTCATCTCAGGAAATGCATAACTTTCTGAGTTGCTGCTGCTTGGATGGTAGGAGCGACGACATACACGTATTATTAACAGTTTAACAAACTATATTAGAAGTCCTGTGAAACGGTCTCTACGGGCAGATATCAACAAGGGTCATAACCCTTAATAATCCTTATTATTAGTGTTATTAGTTATTAGTAATTACTTACTGATCCAACACCTCCCTTTGTCCAGATATTATTATTATTATTACGATTTAATTTTCACACAAAGTTCTTTAAGTATTTCGGGTTTTATGTTAACCGTCCTTTTCTAGATCTCTTTTCCGTTCCTCTTTTTAGCGGAAAGTATTATGTTCTTCTTCCTCAATAGATAGTAAATGTTTCCTGTTTCATTTTAGGAATTCACCAGAGTTCATCTTTACTGTGTATGTCCTATTTTCCTTATTTGCTGCTATTACTGTGCCAGTGTTTTTCCACGGTTTCTCTTCCTCCTTTTTCTCTCGCTCCCACTTTTAGTGGGTTCAGATTTTCACCTCCATGTCTTTTATCATATTTTACTTTTACATCATGTTTTGTATAACCTATCTTTCTCTTTTACTTCCCGTAAATTTGGCCACTTAGGTTTTAGTTTATTTGGGTGACTGGGTAAAATTGTTTTAACTTTATTACCCATCAAGAATTCTGCTGGGCTAACTCCCGTAGCAATTACAGGTGTACTGCGGTATGCCATTAATGCGATGAATATGTCTGGCTGACATAATGTTTTTTTTTTTTACAGTTTTCACTGCGCTTTCAGGAGCTCCATTTTCTTGTGGGGAATAAGGACTTACTGTGGTGTGTGTGAATCCGTATTGTGCAATGAATTCTTTGAAATATATGCTTGTGAAGTGAATTGTCCTCCGTTATCACTTACGATTTCGTAAAGTATTACCCATCTAGCAAATATATTTTGCAATTATCCAATTACTGTTTTACTTGATAGTGGACTTAATTGCACTATTTCCAATTAACAGGAGAAACAGTATGTTATGACTAAGTAATACTCCCCATCCAATTTTAAGATGTCTGTTCCCAACTTCTTCCACCGTCCCTCTGGCAAAGTGATTAGTTTCAAGGTTTTCAGAGAGATGACAATTACAAAATCCACATCCTTTGATGAAATCTTCTATTTCATGTGATATTTTTGGCCATCATACCGACATTTTAGCTCGTTTTCGACATTTATTTAATCCGTAGTGGGTTAGTCAATCTGTATCGGTGACAAATAGAAATTAAACTAACCCTCTACTATTTTTACTAAATCAAATGCAACAAAGACAAAAACAAGAGAAAGAATCGAATAGGCAGATATTTGTTTTAACAAAAAATATTTTTATGTCACAAGTACACACAATATAATAAAGTTGTTCAAAACACTTTAGAGTTCTTGGTTGTGTGTTCAAGGGTAATATAAAAGATGTTATGCTATAGATCTAGTAAGGAATTAAACAATTTATGTTGATGGTGAAATTGAATGAAATAGATTGCTTGACACTGTAGAGTTGTCTCCCTTCGACTGATATAGTTACGATTTCCTTTATGTTGTTAAGATATTGAGTGAGTTGGCTTATGAATCTCGTCCTGGTTCAATTCGTCACTAGATGAGCTGATGTGGAAAGGAAATTGAATTCCACAAGCCGAGTTGATGTTAATAAAAATTAACTTTTAGCGAGGACGTTGGGTTTCATGGATTCGTGTGACGAGTTGATTATTTTAAGGACTCACTAAGTCCTGTCGAAGTTTCATATTTATGAGTTTTCTTGATCAGGTGGAAGCTTGAGAACACGTTTACATATTTTGGCGTGTTGTACTATGAACAGGTCAACTCGAGATCAACCGTACGGACGTCGGCAGAAGCATGACATTATTATTCATGGACCAATCAGAAAGCATTGTTTCGTACTGAACTCTGGAACCGATTTTAATAGGTTCAGCACAAACCGAGAATATTTAGCTGTAATCCTCTTTTAACAGGTTTAAAACAGAGAATATAGAAATCTAATTCTACATATCCAGGATGTCCCGTATGTATTGTTCATAGCATTTCTGGCCTGAGATTTTATGAAATCACTATACGATCTTGGTAAAACAAAATTCTCTGATATACTTACAGCTCATTCCTATATAGTTAAAACAAGGTTTAACTCCTTCGTTTAATCTATCTTCTTTACTGGGCCAATTATTTAATATGGGATGGAT